GTGTTGGGGGGCCAGGGAGTTGGGGGGTCATGGAGTTGAGAAATTGGGGAGTCAAGGGGTCAGGGAATTGTGGAATCAGGGAGTCAGAGGGTGAATTTGGGGTGAATTTGGGGTGAATTCGAGGCATGTGGAGACGTGGGTGAATTTAGGGGACCTTCCTCCGCCGCAGAGAACACAGAGAGGGGTGAATTTTGGGGGTTCTCACCTCCTTTTTTGTTCCCCCCGCCTAGAAACACGCCCTGATGGAGCAGGTCGCCCACCAGACCATCGTCATGCAGTTCATCCTGGAGTTGGCCAAGAGCCTCAAGGTGGATCCCAGAGCTTGTTTTAGGCAGTTTTTCACCAAAATTAAGGTAAGAACCGAATGGGGCCCCCCCTTCTTACCCCCCCAAACCCATGGAGACGGTGGGGGGGAGGATTGGCAACCCCCAACCCACCTGGGGGGCTTTGAGGAACCCCAACCCACGTAGAGCTTGAGGAACCTCAACCCATGGGAGGTGCTCCATGGAGGAGACGGAGACGTTGGGACTCCAAGGGATGGAAAAAGGGGGGAAGGGGGTTGAGAAAAGGGGGAACCCCCACTTGAACCCCCTTTTGACCCCCCCAGACGGCCGACCAGCAGTACATGGAAGGTTTCAACGATGAGTTGGAGGCCTTCAAAGAGAGGGTGCGGGGTCGGGCCAAGGTGAGGATCGAGAAGGCCATGAAGGAATACGAGGAAGAGGAGCGACAGAAACGCCTGGGCCCCGGCGGGCTGGACCCCGTGGAGGTCTACGAATCCCTCCCACCCGTGAGTTTTTTTTGGGGGAAAAAACCAGGAAAATTAGGTCTGGGTTGAATCATTGGTTTCTGATGTGTCTTCTCCTCCCTTTTTTTTTGGGGGGGGTTTCGTGTCCTTCGGCCTCGCAGGAGCTGCAGAAATGTTTCGACGTCAAAGACGTCCAGATGTTGCAGGACACCATCAGCAAAATGGATCCCACTGTGAGTTTTCCAGGATTTTTTGCCCCCCCCTCCCTCCCACCCGTGAGTTTTTTTTGGGGGAAAAAACCAGGAAAATTAGGTCTGGGTTGAATCATTGGTTTCTGATGTGTCTTCTCCTCCCTTTTTTTTTGGGGGGGTTTCGTGTCCTTCGGCCTCGCAGGAGCTGCAGAAATGTTTCAACGTCAAAGACGTCCAGATGTTGCAGGACACCATCAGCAAAATGGATCCCACTGTGAGTTTTCCAGGATTTTTTGCCCCCCCC